CACTGTCTGCGCGCTTTTCATACAGAAGCCCCCCCCCCCAACCATCAGGACGTACATCTCTGTCGCCAATCATTCCACAGGCAAGACCCTCATCGCGGGGCTCCTTCACTCCACACGCCTCGAGAAGGTCTCTTTTGCGACTCGTACGGGAACTACCACGTTCACATCACCCTCAACTACGCCAAGTCCGGATACTCGAGGGTGTCCGCCCGGTCCTGCCGCGCACCCGCAAGACCTGTACGGCAAGCATAACTAAAACAGGTTCCAGCACGAGCAGATGGACCGCCACTGCTCCGTTGACGGCTACCCCGCGGCTACACAGCAGGACCTTGTCACGACGATGTTACACACCGACGGTCTCGGTCGTATGCCTGGCTCGTACAACCACTCAAGCCATAATATCGCTGTCACTGGTCAATATGGCCTTCTTACAGCGGACTGGCTGTCACGGTGTATCCTCGGAGGTTGGGGGATTATCAGCTCTGAGCGTCATACGACTATTGCATTTAAAAACGGCTGAGAGCGCCCGGCTCGTCTCGTATCGCCGCGCCGTTGGACCGGAACGCAAAACCATCAAATGCCTTCGCGGCATTACACCTCTCAAGCCTCTTCATCTCCATCTCATCGACAACATCAACAAGCCACGTAACCATATGATATGCACCGTTATCCTCGCACATACATTCGCTATCCCCCCTCTCTCATATCTCCTACTCCCGAAGATCCACTCCCAAACTCTTCTACGTGTTCGTCCGCTCGCCGTCGTATTTCACCCCACGTGCTGCTCACTTGACGTATCTTGCTTCATCAAATGCCTTTCAATCACTCTGTACAACTCTGCGATGCACTGGTTCATCAATCTTGCTCTACATATTCTTTTACGTGCTATCTTCTCTGCCCTGCCAGTATTCGTCGCGTCCGGAGTTTCTCTGGTGTGTCCTCGCAAAATCGGTCAACACAATCTGTGCCCCAAGTTTCATCTCACGAGGCAAATCGGAGCTTTCGTTATTATTGAGATACTGTTAGGGTTGAAGTTTTCGGACTCCATATTAGGGCGAAGTAGGGACAGATTGTCGGCGCTGATCGAGGAAAAGGCAAGGCGCGACCCTTGTGATTACCTTTTGTTGATCTGATCATGTCGCGCGCTGTACTGAAGGTTTCTAGTAGATATCTTAAAGATACATGAGTATAGAGGGGCACGGTAGTATTCCTATACAACAAACGGGTCGCTGCACATATATACACGCTCGAGCGTCGCCCCAGAAGCACGCTCTCCATTTGCATGCTCTCCATTTGATGATGCACGACTTCATTGACATAACGACGGATAGGGCTGGTAAGGTCCACGTACAACAACACGTTGGGCGCGAAGCGGTGGTATGTGGCGACGTTGAGCATGCCGGCGCAGAAGTGCTTTGCACGGTTCGTGGCCTTGTATAAGTTCCATGAGGCGCCTCGCGGCCGCGTCGGAGATCGACGGGCAGATTTTCATGAGCGTGTCGGAGATGGATACGCTCAGCGTGCTCGCACGGGGTGTTAAGATGGCGCCAAATCGGCGAGTCACAGCCGCACAAGACCGCCTTTTCGGAGAGGGCAACGACTATTTGCAGTTAACAGGCTGACCAACCAAGGCTCCAAGGCTGAGCGCGCCGGAGAATAACCGCTCGATCCCAGCAACGTCAGGCTCGGAGATAACAGGTGCATCGCCGAGCTGCCTGTCGTCAAGCATGTTCAGTGCGTGCGAGTTAGATACTTAAGCGGAGCCATGTCTTCAGCATGCGGGCATCCTTTGTGATAGTGAAAACGGCTGGAATTGCGGGACGCTCTCGGTTGGCACGAGCGGGCAGAGATCCTCGCTGAGGGCTAGCGGGAACACCCGGACGACACCTTGCCCGAGGTACACACTGGTAGCGCGCTTGTAGGTATCGCGGTCATAAGCGGTATTGGGTTTGATGAAGTACGAGATGTCCGCAATGTGAAGACCAACGTCGTACGTCTCGTCCTCATTGAGCTTGATTGAAAGATGTAACACGGTCACCGCCGAGATGCTTGCGAACTTCAAGGTCACGCTCTGAGACAGTCCACGACCATCGGCGGCAGGCACTCCATGACACTGTCCGCGAAGTCCTCGTTGGAGTCCTCGAATAGCGCGCTCGTTTCAACCTGACGTCGCCGATGGAGCCGAGCTCCTTAACTAGAGTACCGAAGGGGTGCAGGGGTGACGCTTGATGCACGCGACGAAGAGTTGTTGGGGTATACCTCTGAGTACTGCAGGAAGTCGGGCGGTGCCTGCTTAGTAGGGATGGCGATGAGCGGTACACGCTTGTCCTTGAGCTTGAACCAGACGGTCTCAGAACGTTCACGCTGATGGCGGCGCCCGTCGCCCTTGTCACCCTCGCGCTCGCGCTCGCGGCGCTCAGTCTTCTGCTTCCCGTACAAAATGGGCGAAGAAGACGTACAGTACCGCTAAGCAGGCTGACCATACGCCCGACAAGAGTGATGGAGTGACTGGCGGGTTCGTACTTAACCTGGTCCCTAACTTCCTCATCCTCAAACAGCGTAAGGCCCTGGCCCTCAACCGCAAACTCGCCCTTTCTCTCATCGTTCTTGTGGTCGGTGGCCGAGCGCACATTCTCGTATACCGTCTTCCCCTCCTTCTTTGTAGCCCAGACCTCGTCGATATCAAGGAGTTCAACTGCAACATTATCAGCCTCAGCGGCACCGTCACTGCCCTTGTGACCGCAGATGCAGATGTCCGCGTTGAGGAGCTCAATCGCAACGTATGCGTGATCGAAGTTATAGAAAGTGGTGATACTGCCAACGCCGCCGCGCTAGCAATTGTTGATGACGTTGATGTCGTTGCCCATAACCGCGTGGTATACCCTGAGACTAGCGGACGACGTCGTCGTCCATGCTCGCGAGACCGAGCTGGCCCATTAGGCCCTGCTAAGCGGCAGCAGCGAGGCCGGCTATGTCCATGGCGACAGAGCCCTGCACGCGGGGATGACCGCCCGCGCGAGGCGGAGCCAGTCCAGAGTCTGGAATGACAAGGCATGGTTTACCGCGAGCTGCTGCTGGTGGAGGGCAACTTTTGACGCTGTAGAGCCTCGCTTTTGACGCTGTAAAGCCTCGATCTGCTCCATAATGTTGATCTTGACACTGAATTGAGTTAGCAGGGTGCAACGATCGCAAAGAACGATATGAGATTCACCTGTTTCGCGGTGGATCTCGCCGTTGCTCTCACTGCGACAATACGGATTGTGCTGTTCTCGACCAGCGGCAGTGATGACATCATCCTGCTGACAAGTAAACTGGAAGCCGGCGTCTTCTCCACTGATCGCCGATTGAGGTCAGAGGGCTGACGCTGACCATGACGAGCACCGAGAGTGAAGCCCGGGGTGAGTTAGTGCGGCCTCCGACGTTTCTGAGATTCTGCTGCTGCTGCTGAGCCTGAGCGAGCGCGGCGAATGGGGTGACGACGCTCTGAGACTGGGGGCAACGCCTGTGCGATCCGCCGCCGACGACGTTCGAGCTGCCGGCCGCTACGAGCGCCAGAAACAGAACCGGCGGCTGTGTAGCTTTGCGGCCTAATGATCCGAGCGCCCTGGGTAAATGGCACACTCGCGGGAGCGTATACGAGAACCTATGCGGGTCGAGAGCCATGAGGGAGACTGCACGGGAGCGAGCATAATGGCGGGACGCAAGAGAGGGGAAACGGCAAGACGACAGGACGCGCTGAGCTATCCGCGCGGGAGCCGCATCTGTGTACGAGTAGCGCGTACTTCACACGTTCATCAGATGGCATGATCAAAACAGTTATCTTTCATGCGGCCGTCTTCGTGACTGTGAACGAGTACATGGCTAGGAAGTATCAGCGGCGCCAGTCGTAGCTACGCGCCTCTCCATTCCAGATAACTCCGCCTTCCACCTCGCAAGCTCAGAACACGAATCTCCTACGAGGAATGGAGTGCTCTCCTCGAGGAGGAGTTCACGCGCGTTGCATGGTGCACCACCCCTCTAGCTGTCGAGTACCGCGCCAAGACATCTATCTTCGAGTCAATATAATACAGCTACTCTTATTGTGAAGGCGCACCCTTTCCAATTCCATTCACGAAAGACGCCCTGCAGAGTTTTGTGATGGAGATACAGGCCCCATCTCGCGCAAGCTGGGTGCCTGCTGATTCACCCACACCCAGTTGGCTGCTTCGCGCGCACTGGTATCGCATCCACAGCATTCACAACGCGCTATGGAAGAAGTATTTTGAGATTGTCAGCCTCTGAATAGACGGAGGACGTGATGAGGACGAACCAGTCTGCTTGCCCTTCCTACAATCTGCGCACTTCTCCTGCATATTCGGGATCCCATTCACACCATATCCGTTATCCATTCCGCCTTTCCAAAGCGACCATATACAGCGCGCCACGAACCGAGGCATGCGAGGTAGGATTGCTGCACTCGATTAGCCCATTCACTGCGGGAACCTCGGGCGTCGCGAACAAGCTTCAATGACTTGGATTTGCTGTTTGCACGAGCTTGAAAGAATAGACGCACTCCTCTGCCGCCATAGATCGTGCACTTGATATTCATTCATCCCGCCCTTCATTGGGCCTTCTGAACGCGCTTGACGAAAACGCAAGGTATGAGATCGCCGGACAGTGGAGGAGAGGGTCAAGATGCATGTGAGGTGCGTCACCCCGGATGGGCCCGGGCGCCGGACGTTTACGACCGGCGACTTGTTGTTGACTAGTACCACCACTGACGCGAAAGACGCTTTTCACCCGGGTCTATTACCTGTCGTATCACTGCCTATCTATAAGCATCGTATCATCCTACCGGTGATGTCCCGCAAGGCACCGATGCAGTATCCGGTATCGAGGCCCACTCTATTCGCGGTGTTGATGTGTACTTGTGCCGCACGCTCATTTGCGGAAGATCATAGGGCGTTTGCCACTGCACCTATGCAGGGAGGGCAGGGAACATACGGACTGACTGTGGCACCTCTGGTTAGCTACTTCTGTCTGCGTTGCTAATGGTACGAGAAGTTACCTAGTTATGCGATCGTGAAAGTAGAGGCTAACTCGGACGGCCAGGACACGGAAAAGGCGCCTCACTCATCAGTATGATTTGAAGTACCCTTAATCATGTCGCTGACCGGCAACCGACCGCAATACCTCCGAGTATGCTCTTCAGTGGGTTGACGCGGCGCGAGCGTCTCAGAATGTATGGTCCCTTTGTGACTGACAGTGGCTAGTTCTTGGCATAACGCGTCGTGTCTTCCCACTCGCAAGAGTTCCTACGACGCAGAAGTATTACATTGCCGAGACAACGTCCATCCGGCGGGATCATCGCTTGGCATCGTGTGGCACTGTGCGTAACTTCCTTTCATGTACGCGCGAGCACCACGTTGACACATACGGTAGTTAGATACCACCTACGCGGAGAACAAAGCGAACGTGTTCGTGAAAGAGGAGGCAGGAGGCGCTCCTATCTACTTGCACTACCTCACACTTCACGCTGTTTGCTCGTCCGATCCAACAATACGTCTGAACGCTCACAGCATTCCTCACCCTCACCTTCTCCCGGCTCATCAAATATTCACGGACATCAGTTGAACCGGACGATCGTCGGCCTACCTGGACGCGTATGCACGCTGCACAGCGTCCCTGACCCCCCCTGACACCATACGGTTTCGCCTCGCGCCCCTACTAGAGCTATCCTCTTCAACAGCATCTCAATGATAGATACCGTCGCTGTGGATTACGGGTAGTATCATTCTACTCCCTTCTGAGCATCCCCATTTCCAACAAGATCGTATTGTGCCGCGCAGCTGGAATGGCCTATTGCCAAACCACATCCTAAATATCAGAGTGTTCCCGAGCAAGCGCGCTCCGAAAATTTCTCAATATGTTTGCGACAGATAGTCGCATGGGCACGCCTCAGGTCTTCAGCGCATGCGCCGGCTTGTTCAGGTGGACCGATCAACGAGTTTGCGCCGAACGTACTGCTTACGTATGGATAAACGGGCCGGCACGACAACGGAACCTAATTTGGGTGCGAGTGGTGCGAGCTATCGACGTCATTACCTACAACTATGGCACCCATGCTCAATGGGTCCTGTACTGAGGAGAGAAACTCGCGTGCGCCGATGCCACTGCTTCCACTTCCTTCTCTGAGGCTATATTCGCAGTCGTCGTCTCATCACACGAAGGAGAACTAAGAGCAACGACCCTGTACGCGTGAAACGGGGAGCCATTGGGAGAAGGATGAGGGCTCCGGACACAGCGGAAGGTTGCCACCGGAGATTTGGTCACGGCGCTCAAGTAGGAGAAGAATCGATAGCAACAGGAGGCGATCAGGAAAGAGTATATTCTTCGATCAACATGTCCACAGCGCATCTCCACTGATGACTTGATTTGTAACTTCTTGTTGGTGTGCATGAACTGTTGGGCCACTCATTGGGCTTCTTGAACTTTCGAGTCATGGTGAATGCCCATGCTTACACGGGTATTCGCCCGTCACCAGATACGCAGAAAGCATACGCGCCAGCATCAGGCAAGCCAATACTTTACAATAGTCATATTTGCTCTATAGCACTGGGTTGTATCGTAGGTGTTCTCCTGGACTTATTACAATATCTCATTGGACATAGTCGCGTTTGGAGCCGCGACGCGATTATAGTCACGTGATCGTGTTTCGGCTGGCGACCTGAAGTCGGCACTTGCCGGCGCGGGAACATCATTATTTATAAGCCCTACGTCAACATCCCACGAATTGAACAAGGTCTCACGTGAGATTGGCAATTCCTACATAAAGCGACGCGCTCGCGATCTCCTCAGCCCCTCCCTTCCGCCCAGCATTTTCCCCCATTATTCGCTTCGACATCGCTTTCAATTGTGGCGCTGGGCTGTAACTCGTGCTCCTCCTTCTACTGTTTAGTGGACTGTTTAATCGGCGCAATGCGTCCTTATGTTCGTAGACCTCACTCGGGGCCAGGACTCGCGGGAGGAGACACGGGCTAGCACATCTTCATCGATGGTCTCACGCGGCGAATAGAAGCCGCGTCGATAGGCGCTTCCTGTTAAGCCCCGATCGCGCGTCGTCCTCGGTTTCGTCTTACCACCACCATCATCCATCGGCGACATCTTCACCTCCGAGATGGACGCATGTGCGTTGGTCTACTCCTATGATGGGATGACCAGGGCTGACGTGACTCGCAGACATTCGCTGCGCTAGTCGCTCACGTCAGTGTGGTGCGTGACAGGCTACTTTCTGCTGCTTGTATGATGACGACTCGCTCGCAGAATGCTCTTATTTCTCTGGGCCTCACCGGCGGGCAAGGCTACAAGATATCGACGAACCGTACTACGAACAATCCGTCCCCGGATATATATGCGCGGCGCAGCCTCTCGTCAGTCAGCAGCCGTCACCTCTGCCCGCTCTCACGCACACCCTTCCCCCCTACAAGTCCGTCCCTCAGCCGCGACTTTCCACGCAACGCACTCGCAGTTTGTGCGATGTCTCGTCCGCGCAAGACATTACCAGTGTCATCGCCGAGCGATCCGCATCTCTCGAACTTACCATTGCGTCCCACGCTTCTAATTCGCAATCATCGGTACCCGCCGACACAGTGCACGCTGCGCGCTCACGTCTCACATCCCTTCTAATGGCGGATCCTCCATCAACGGAGGCCCCTATGCTTCCAGCCCTTGATTTCGAACCATCGCTTGGACGCAGCACGCACGAACTCGCTGTCTCCGCGTCCACCTCGTTTGTCCCTCCCGGTGTTGAGACTGACGGCCGCATACCTGTCTCTATCGGGACCATCGAGCACACGACTGCCCACAAGCGGGCAGGAACTTCTTTGCTGGACGCAGTTATGGATGCGGTCAGATGTCATTCGTACACGCCCGCACCAACTCGCTGATATGTCGCAGGGCAACGCATACGCACTTCCCGCGGCTCGTAGCGATGTCCTGGATACGGTGTTCCCCGACGCGCCTCAGGTGAGCGAGTCACCGCGTGCGTGAGTATACTGCCGTTGATTGATTTCACCAGGGAAACGTTATCGCGCATCCAGAGCCGGCATACACCGGTACCTTCGAGGATCGGTCGCGCCCGAAAGTGAGTTTACCCTCGTATAGCCTGACAAACACATCATACGCTAATTTGGCTCGGTAGCCATTGGCACGTTTGCAAGACGGAGGGGCATCACGCGCGAAGGTGGCTGCTGCGCAGGCTCTCAGCATTTAACGGTCGTCCCTGCGTCACCCTCGGTATACATCTGCGACTATATTGAAGACACGGTAAGTGGAAGACGAGCTAATGCGAAAAGCTGCTGACGTTGTCATTGTGCGCTCAGTTGCACTGCACCACTGCATTTCTTGCCGTCTGAAATGAAGATATCATCGGACATGTCGTGCTCTATATCCCCCAGACATTTTTCTACTTCCCGTTCTCGATTACGTACCGTTGCTGATACTCCCCAATCCGCCTTTCTTGCTTGAATCCATCTATAACCGCCCATCTTGAGTATTTTCCGATGCCTCTGGATCTTCTAACAATATGGCAGGGATGTTGTCCGTGGATCATAATACCCCCCACCCGAATGACCAAGCATCTGCATGTTGTCGCTCCCAGTATCTTGCTTTACTTCACATATCTGCTTAGCACATCTCCGCCCTCAAAAACATGCCACCCTACTATATATCTCTGCTTAGCACATCTCGGCATTCCAAAGCATCCCATCCTACTGTATACCTCTGCCTAGCATGCTCCAGCACCGTATACCCCTGCATCTCACTCTACTGTATGTCTCTACCTAGCATACCACCTCATATTCCTGCACTGTATTCCGATGCTCCAACACCGTATACCCCTGCATCTCACTCTACTGTATGTCCCTACCTAGCATACCACCTCATATCCCTGCACTGTATTCCGATCATCATACCCTGTATTTACAGAGCGTAACTAGGACAATACACCGTTTTCATCTGCAGCGTATCCGCCTCCGCGCTCACTACCTATGTATCCCTGCACTGTATTCCGA